TTGGAAATGAGGTAACTGGTTGTTAGAGATTCATTCATAGTGTTTTGATGTCTCTTCTACATTTCATCTCTGAAAGGAAACAAAAACCAGTCAAATGACTTGCGAGGTAATTGGTGTAACTCTAAACTGACTAAAGCAAGGTGTACGCGAAAATGAAAATGCCTGCCAGGTTTTTTTTTAATTGGATAGTTTTTGTTCTCAAAGTGGTGTATTTATCACCAAAGCTAAAAGATCTGAATGTGAACATTCTAACTAACCAGTTTAACCTGACCAAAGCCTTCATGGAAGTGTTATATATTTTGCTTTTCAGATTGCAGACAGCAAAGACGTCTTTCGTCTTGCGTCATGTTTTGATGATAAAGAAAACGAGTTGTCGTGGCAGCGTCGGCAGTGGCAGCGAAGCAGAAACAATGTACCTAAGGTCCTAGAAATACTTGAGCTTCAAGGTATCTTTTACTTTTATTAGATAATAACTAAACAACAAACAAACAAGTTCTATTTCCTGTACTAAATCTATATAAACGTAAACACTTGCTATTGCAGTATTTTTGCGTTTGCCACCTTTCATTGTTTAACACTAGGCACATGATTAGGCATCTCGTTTATTGATCAGACATAAACAGCCCTAGCATAGATTATTGTAGCAAACATAAGCGGCCCTAGGATACTTATTAATACAACAAATGTACATTTTGTACTAAACAAAAAACACGAAGTTTTTACTAAAACAAAATTTCCCGAATAAAGTGATCAAAAACGGAGATGCCGTCTAATGTAAGGGAAGAAAAAGAGAAAGGAAGACAAAAATTAACTCTCAGAAGGAGTTACTTATGTTCCAGGACAGTTTTAACGTTAAACTGCAGTTCACAGTTATGGTATTGCTTGTGAAAACCATACTAGAACTTTAACTCTGTATTTCTCAAATGTCAAATTTTGACTGTAGGCCCTTCGGCTCAACACGTCTACTTGGAAAAGTATTTAACATAAGACATTTACTTTTGCTGTAGACTTTGATCAATAGTGCTTCTGTGATATGATCCTAAATTTAGTCATGCCCTTTTATTTTTCACATTTTTTGGCCAATCTTGTCAATAGGCGTGGTCATGAATTAATTAAAGTCCCTTTCACATTGTAAATTAAGGGCAAAAAGGCTTAAGCTGTCGAGGTTTTAGGTTCATATCACAGTTCTATGTATATTGAACATATTCGGAAAATTTCAATTGACGGCTGTCGGACAAAGTATCCGCTGACGAGTATAACGTGACGATATCGTGGGCTCAGGTTGAGAGCTCATCGAGGTCGCGTGTTTTGCTGTAGTTGACCGCTGTCCATACACTTGTTTTCGATTGGATCGCAGGCTCAAGCCAGGCTATTACTTTGGGGGAGAAGGAGGGGGCACGTACTGAGGGAAAATTTCGGTACGAATTAACCCCTGGCGCGTTTTTGACTTTTCTTCCGAGATATTCCTCGCCCAATCTTAAGGCCTGTCCAAACGGGAAATGTTTGGCGACCAAACATTTTTCCGTTTGGCCACCTTGTTTGGTGCTGTTTGATCGTGTTTGGTCGTGTTTGAAGAAATTTGAAGGCCATAAAACATTCGATCAAACAACTTAAAACATTTCTTTTGTTCTCGTGTTTGATGGGCGATATTTTGTTCATTTGGAAAGCCGTATCGAACATGTTTGGCGGGCGCATGCGTCCCACCTTTACTCAGCGGCTTGTATCCATAGTTTGATCTGTGTTTGATCAAACATGTTTTAACCGTTTGGCCACTCACTTCAACATCAGCATGTTTGGTCACCAAACAATGTTTGATGATGTTTGGTCGCCAAACATTTACCGTTTGGACAGGCCTTTATTGTAATCAGGAAGTTTCGCTTTTAAGACGTGGCTAAATCTATGTATTATTCTTTGAATATCGCGCAGAAGCAGATCTCGAGGCGATAAACTACTCCTTGCAGTCAGCCGGTGGACAGGCTCCCTAGGGCAAAAGATCGGTATCGACAAGTGATGTCAGCCGAGTGTAGTCTGAGCAGGAAAATCTCGCAAAGCGCATGGCTCGCTCCGCTTTCCGATTTTTTGCGCTATACCCAGGCCTCGGCTCCTTGCAAGCTCACGTTAACATTCGGTCGTCCAGAAGTCGAGAACCTCCTGAAGAATTTTTTGAAATCTTCGGTAGTATTTGAGTCATCTTCGGTCTTTAAATGTTCACGGCACCTGAGTTCCGTGTCTCACGCATTCAGTTCTGTTGTATATCGCTGGCAGTTGCTATTTTGAATTGTTCCAGTTAAGCTTAAACGTCATTTTACATTATTTCAGTTATCAGTCTAGGTTTTTTCAATGATTTTAGGGCATTCCTTTAGTAACTATGCATTTTAGACACAGTCAAAGTTATTTTAGGTCGTTTCTTGTTGTAGTAACTACGAGTTCAATTCTGCTTACAAGCGACGCTGGATTCAAGTTTGACAGTGGCGTGATTTCCCTCAAACAACCACNGTGTCCATAGTTTGATCTGTGTTTGATCAAACATGTTTTAACCGTTTGGCCACTCACTTCAACATCAGCATGTTTGGTCACCAAACAATGTTTTATGATGTTTGGTCGTCAAACATTTCCCGTTTGGACAGGCCTTTAACCTTACAAGAGGTCTCTATCTGCGCAGATCTGGAAGCTCGCAACATTGTCTGAAGAATCTGTCGCATCCCATCTTGTATCTGCTCTTCGTGGAGTGACTTCAAAGACTGTTCGTCACGTTGTTCTTCGGATGCCTCACCTTCCGGCTTTCTCAGACGTAATCCGGCTGTCCTCCTGCCATCTCTCTAGCTTGTGCGCTGAGACCAGAAATAGATTGCGTACTAAGATGTAGTAGAGGAGGCCGGGATTTGGCATTCGCTTCAAGCGGCGCTCGTACGTCCGCTAAGTTGATTATTTCTTTTGAAGAGTGAACACTGTTATTTACGCTGTACCCGCCATGACGGCGTATTTCCAGGGAGTTTTCCGTCGAGGTCCAAGATTCCCGCTTTGAATAATTGTACTGTGCCGCTTCTGTTCTGTGTTTTCTTCCTCTTCTTCTCGCTTGCGGGCTGTAACACGTCGCTGTTACGTGATCGTCTAAGAGAATTTCTTCCGTGAGCTGTCAAAAAAAAGCAATAACGGATAAAAAAAACTTATAAGAGGACAGCATTGACGATCGCTAACTTGAAAACCGATATTCCGAACTAATTCATAGATGGCACATACAAACTGTCAGTATAAAAACAAATGATAAAAAATAAAGTGTGTAGACATTTGAAGACCAGTCTGCGGCAGCGTGGCATGCGCCCCCTGCCACCCCCCACCCCCCTCCTCCCACCCCGAAGTGCGTGGTTTTACTGCCGTAGTGCAAGTAGCCTACCCCATTATTGTATTTTGCATTTCTTACCTTGAGAAATCTTCGTAGTTCTCTTTCAACCGCTGTATGTCCATTTGCTACTGCTACCTGTAAAACACGGACATGAATTCTGAACACCATTATCCACAAACGAATTTTTTCGTAAAACAATAAGTGCTATTGCCATTATTGCTCATGTGTGACGATCATTATAAAGCACAATCATAGTTACTGTTTTTGCCGTGTCGTACATATTCCTCAGGCGGAAAACATGCATCTGATGAAAATGGAAGACAACTTAAATTAACCAACTAGAGAACATTTGTTCGATGCCTATTCACGTTATGAATTCACGTGATATCTTCCCCAAACTCCTTGAATGCGGGCGCGGGATTGATAGCAGCGTCAACTTTCTTCGTTTTGAGCTCTTATCTCGTGCAGAAGACGCAGTTGACATAAAACAATCGAGAACAAAAGAAGGAGGGCGGTGTTCTTTTGCAACTTGTCCTGCGTTTCTACACTAAGAAGGAGCCTTGCTTTGAGAAAGATCAACATAATTCCAAACCCGCGGTATTGCCATTATTCAGTGAGGTTTGGAAGAAAGTTCGTGCGAGTCATCTTAACAAAATGGCAAGATCTAAATGTGGTATCAGAGGGCGATCAATAACAGATGAGGCCAGCAAATTAGCTACATTCATGACAACACCCAACACCGCCCTACATCCACCAAACGGTAAAGAAACAGTGACTTGTGAGCAAAACTAGCTCAAGAAAACTTACTTGCAAGGGAATCTGGCCATACCGATTAAAAAGTGTCGCATCTGGAAAGGAAAGAGACTTCTTTGTTAAACTAAGTTGCTAACCAGAGACTGAGTAACAATAACAGAAATTATGTAAGCGCATTACAGTACCAAGCTGTAGGGGAGAAATCCGTCCACTAGTAGTGACCTTTGCAATATTTCGTAATCATGCTTACGACTTACCTGCGCCCTCTTTCAACAACAGATTTACGATATTGAGCCTGCCGTACATCGCTGCTGTGTGGAGTGCGGTCTGTCCATCGAAGTCAGACACGTTCACGTGACCGGTCCATCTTATCAATCGTTTCAGGGTCCTTGTGTCCCCGGTGCTGGCAGCGCTTGTCATCAGTTGAGCCAACTTGCACTCACTAAAGGTCCCTCCACGCGCCTTCAAGTGCTCGGCAACCCCATAGTGAGCATTCATGATGGCATCTGTAGAAATGCACCAAAATGAACAAAGTCGAGAAAATGGGAAGACCCTGCCCCACGTCGTTGTTTACATTTTCCCTCGTTGGTATACGACTTTGCACAGAGACGAAATCGTGCTAGATATGAATTGACTCCAATCAGTTTAAGAGCTTGTCCATGGCATAAAACAATTGGTCAGGAGAACTTTTTGACTCTGTGCGTGATTTTGAAGGAGATGGCTTTGAAAAAGCGCTAATGAGCACATACATTCTTTGCAAAATTTTGAGTTGTCAAGTCCGCATCGCACAAAAAGTATTAAATAACAAAAATCGAGCAAAGTCTGGCTCAAATTCCCTTGCCAGTTAATTGTGTATTGCATGCCCTTTCAGCATTCAGAGCTAATCGTCTCATAGCTCGATCAGGAACTCAAATCGCTTACCCAAATGAGGCAAATATTGAAATCCAAGATTCCCTTATACGGTCACTTTGTAGCTACTAACTGTCACAAAACCGACATCAATGTAATTACAACTTACCAATCACAACAAACTCAAGTAAGTCAATGAGCCAATCAGAACTCGAAGCAAAACACGAGACCAGTCCCAAACGCTTGTTTCTTCCCGCGGGGCGAAGGTAGGCTTTTGTACATTATGCTTTTATTTTCCCACTAAAATGCTCCACCTTAATGCTCCATTTTTCCCACAAAAATGCTCGGTCTCTTCCCAAAAAGTCACTAAAATACTCGGTTAATGCTCATACATAGGGTTTCTTAAATTTTAATAGTTTTAACGTTTTAACACAATTTCAAAAACAGCTCAGGTTGCTTTAAAAAAAAAAACGTGTACGTAGTATAACGCAACGTTTTTAATTGTTTTAATACTCATAATGATAAGCAGTACTCCAGCTAAAAACAAGGGAAGACAAGCCTTGCTTTGACTGTGCAGCTAACAGGTGCATGAAAGAAGATTTGTTTATCGAACGAGAGCTCTCATCCACGAGTCGATGAAACTCCGGCACTCACTGTTTTCACTATTCAATTATTTAAGTTACACTCGATTGAGTAAATGCACCTCTGTTATGCAGAAAATAAATGTATTTTTCGATATTTTAATTAGAAATCGGGAATTGTCATCAGGTTCTACTACTTCTCTCTGTATGAATCGTCTAAGAGATTCTTTAGAGCTTTGTTGATACTGTAGTTTAAAAGCTCTGTTGCTCTGTTTATCAAATATCCCAAAGATCATATTAAATCTCCGAAGACCCCCCAAATCGAACAAATGATTTCTGAGGATCGTAGGAATATAGACAGATGTTCACAGACATTTTGCAAACTTACATGCGAGAACGCTTCCTTGAGAAGAAAGAAGCAATCAAGAGACTTGAGTTTTCGGCCTCACGGCCCCCAGGTGTTAGCGGTGACAAATCAAGCAATTCAACGTTTTCTGCTTCCGTACCCGTAACTAAAACAAAACAAGAACGCATTTTGCTTTTTACACCATAAGCGGATAACACAGGATAAGCCGAGGTTCAGAAGCCAACTATAAAAACTTCTTTTTTTCACATGGTTACACCGATACTGACTCCCACGAATGAACCCAGTAAAAATCATTTGGTAAAAAATAAATAGCTCTCTGACACATTACTTTATCGCGGGCTGTGGAGGTTAAATTAATGAAGAGAAAAAAAAACCTTTCATATAACTAACAGTTATATGAAACGAAACGAAAAGAGATATTTGAAAATGGTAACCAGCATTATTCCTCTCGTGCAGACTATTTGTTAACATTTTCAAACGCCTTAGACGGGACATACAAGAATTTCATCATAGAAGGACTTAAACAGTTAAACCAACTTCTTTATTATCATTTGCATTGAACATGTTAAACATGTTATACGGTAGAAATCGTGTGTTTTTTTAACATAGGCAGGTTGAAAAAGTTACTCATTTTGCGACTTTCAATCTTCCTCGGCTGCTAACTCTGGGAAGCCAAAACCGGCCTTTCACGGAAAATACCAGTATTGTCACTTTTTTTATTAGTTTCTTGCTATTGTGAAAGGGTAATTTCAAAAAATTTCACTGCTCTTTACCATCCTTTCTCGTTCGTTGTTGGTTGATAAAAAGTTTCCAGCCTTCCCTGGAAGGACACCCTTTTAGAGCAAACCTTCGCCAAGTACCAATAAGTGGTACAACATGCTTCATGCATCTTGCGTTAACAGTTTGAGGAGTTTCAATTTGTCGATGACAATGTTTTGCGACCACACGCGATCTAGAATTTTAAAACTCTTTCACGATGCTAAAAATAAGCAGTCCTGAAACGTTGTGGCTGGACTTAAATTCTTCTTCTTTTCAAACCCACAAACATTTTATTTCCATAAGGTTAAACTCATACATGAGCACGAGATTTTCAAGTCTCAAAACTTTGCATATGTGAACGCATCACGTAGGCAGGGAAACGTCGTTCTTCCGTTTGTTCTCGAAGGCTTCCTCCTACTTTCCAATCACGAAATGACATGTCTATCCAAAAGCAAAGAATCAGTCAGAAATAAAATCTTTCGTAGTAATCCGACGAAAACTGGCAGTGAAATTTTGCACTCATATCCGGATTTAAAGGTCTCTAATTTTGAGCTTGACTTCAGCCTGTAATAAGGGCTACGCCCACCCACTTGAGACTACAAATTCCACTTCGGGTTAACCTCTGGAAACGACGACGTTCGCATAGACTACGAGTAGTCCCTCTTTCGCTTAGTCCGTCGTGTGTCACACGAAAGAAAACCGCTGGAAAAAAATGCCGCGCGAAATCTAACGTTCGCATGATTTTTGAAATGACCGTGACTGAACCAAGAGGCTAAATAACCAAACCGAGTAATTAAGTTAAGCGTCTGACCTCTACAAAAAAATTATCCAGAAATAAATTACAATTGTTTTTCTCGTGTTGGGCGATACTTGCACCTTTGCTGCTGTTCCGGAAAGCTCAAGATAACTCCCGTTTCTTCTGGCGCTGCATAGCTTCCTTGCGATGAAGCCGTCTTCTTTGGCCCTTGCGTCGTTTTGTTCTGTCCACTCGCAAGCTCGACAACAGCATTCTTATTGCCGTTTTCCTGATGGACACGATGCAGTGAGCATTGTGTTTGACCAATGGTGCCATCGGCTTGATCACTCCTGTTACTCACGCTGCTTGTAACCTCTAGTTCCTGGTGAACTCCGACAGACTTTGGTTGCTTGCTATTTGGCGATGGAGCCAAAGTCTCTGTTTTTTGGTTCGTTTTGTTCTGCTCGACCACAGCATTCTTGTTGCCGTTTTCCTGGTGGACACGATACAGTGAGCATTGTGTTTGACCACTGGTGCCATCGGCTTGATCCCTCTTATCAGTCACGCTGCTAGCAACTTCTAGTTCCTGCTGAAATCTGATGGACTTTGGTTGGTTGCTATTTGGCGATGGTACCAAGGTGTCTGGTTTTTGTGTCTTATCTATAACGTCATTTTGATCGCAGGACTGGTTGCGGTGATGATGTAGGAAACATCGACACTGACCACTCGTACCGTGGGCTTGGCCTTCCGTGTTCATCACACTACCAGAAGCCTTAATGCTTGGTTTGCATTTGATGGTTTTAGGTTGATGTACGTTGACCCTGATAACGCGGTTTACAACAGCTAGGTATGACGAAGATTCTTCTACGACTGCTCTGCGAGATTTGCAATAATCTGCGCCATCACTACCATCACGGGATCCTGGCATCTCAAAGCAATCCTCCAGCTCTCGTTCCGCGAACCCTTGAGCGTCGTGCTCACCTTGACGAGTGATAGTACTAACCCGCCTGGTACGACGTCGTTGTACACGAGTTAGTGACTGTATTTCATCACATCCTCTCATTTTCAACATCTTCACAGCTTCGCGTCTAAAGTTACCATTTAGTACAAAGCAGTATAGCAATGGGTTGACCAGCGAGTTCAGCTGACTCAGCACCTCGGACCAACAGAAAAAAGAGCTTGTTCGAAGGATGGGAACTATCTCACCGAGGAAACGGATAGCGATGGAAGGAACGTAAGAAATTAACAAGGCAAGTGCTAGTATCGCTGTCGTGTTGGCAATGCCCTTCACCATCTTTGCTCTAGCCGGAGCAGAACTTGCGCTAACCCCGTTGATTTTCTGTTTGGACCTTACGCTCAAGTTAACCATGAGGTAAAAATGTCCGATGAGAACTAAGCAAACTAAGGCTGGAAGAAAGAAGATCTTATCCAAGATCTTAGTGTACTTATAGTCGAGTCCTAGAGCCGTAAGAATACGTACAGGAGTCGTGGTTAGTACAGCTAACAGCCATGCTATTGCTGTGCACGTCTTCACTCGCCTCCTGGTGACAATCGCTTTGTAGTACATCCAATTTCGTATTGCCACGTACCTCTCCCAAGCGATCAAAGTCATATGGTATAAAGACGAACAGACATCAGCATACATTACCAGTTGATTGGCAAACGCTAGTCTACAAAAAGACTCGTCTACAGTAGTATTCTTATCGAGGAGCAACGCATCTAGGCTAATAGACAAAGGCATGGAAATGGCACCCACTAAAAAATCCGCGACAGCGAGACTAGCCAACAAAATGTTCGAGTTTTTCTGCGACTGTCTTCTTTTCGCCACAGCGACGATCACTAAAACGTTTAAGAGAATGATAATCGGGCAGGTAATGCATTTCGTGGTGATCGCAGCCTGGAATGTGGTCGTGTCGCTTAAAATCCATGAGAATATTGGTTCGTTTTTGCAGGTAAACACATCTGGTGCGTGGCTTGAAACTTTCATGGCAAGGTTTGATTTACCATGGTTCATTTTGTTTCCACATGGTAGAACACAAGAGTATATCAGAGAAGATACAGTACTCACTCAGTAAACCGTGATTTCGTGTCTATGACACTCTGACAGTCTTCAAACAAAATCAACTGTGCTATTCAACATTTCCAAATAGCATCTGTTTTGAGACATTTTACAAAGTCTTTGTTACGAGAATCCGAGAAAGGATGCCTAGGTGTCGTACAGGAGGGAAGATAGATTACAGTCACAGGGGAGGAGAGGGCGGGGGAAATCCAGACAAAGGCTTAAGGCTAGAAATAGTGAGTTGTTACTTGGACAACTGGGCTTCAACCAATCTGCTTATAAAAGGCCAGGATAACCATCGTCACTAAACAAAACAACAACAACAACAACAAAAACAGCAAACATACATCATGACCAGATAGTACGTAACGGCAACAAAACGTTTACCCTATGACCAGAGTGCATGCTTCACGTAAGAAGCGTGAAACGCTCCCAAGTTGTGCCGTGATTGGATTTAAAGTTGCCTTATTTCCGAGTCTGGATTGAACCTGCTAGTTTTATTACAACCAGCCCCTCCCATTGCCTCCTTTGCCCTCCCCCCTAGCACATTCAAACTCCATCCAAATACGAGAAGACACGAGGAGTAAGTTAATTAAAGTGTATTCAGTCCGCGAGAAAATTGACCATTTTTTTGTAAACACGTTAAAGAAGCAATTAATTTTTTCGTTCCATTGAATTTGAGTGCTACTTTAATGAATTCATTCTTATTATTTACGCCTACTGTTGGAACACCTATATTTAACGGACATGTTCTCATGCACTTGTTATTTTCTGCTTCTGACAGCTGGGAAAAAAATGCGTTTTCTAATACCATGTTACGCATTATCATCGCTAAAATCACTTGAAAGAAAAGGAACGATTTATTTGTACATTTCATGGTCAGTTTCATACAGCTTCCAGTTTTCATCTAGTTTAGT